TGAAAGGGTAGCTTCTGAATTTCTGGCTGGGAGTCCAGGAAAAACTGGTAAGCCAGCGCATAATCCAAGAGGTCAGTGAAGAGCTCCATGTCAGGATGCTTTCTGGTATTTTGGGGATTGTGCCACCCATACATGTCTTATGGGCACTTGGTGACTCCTCTTTGGACATACGTAAGTACAATTTTGGTGATGGACACATGGTCAATCAAGGCAAGAATTTCAGGTCATATCAGAGAGATCTTTTATCCTTTACATCTCAGATTGGGCCACATAAATTGTTTTGTAAAGATGTGGGTCCAGCGAGCGCTTAAATAAGGAAAGCGGCTAGAACACTAAAAAGGAAAACCATATAACCTTCTAAAATCATATAAAAAACATGTAGTGCAGCGCTACGAATAATATGATGCGGATGCCTAAAGCTAAAATTACACAATAAATGTGAGGGACCGCCGGACGGCACCACTAGCACTCCACTGGTCAGGCGTGCCCAGAGCGCGGAGTCTAAGCCCCAGGGTACTTTTTCACCAGGGCCCCTGATGGTGGGGATGGACTTATAGTACCCCGGGACCAGGTCGCCACTACTGAGCACACCTGTCAGTGGTAGGGGTGTTCGCCAGGGGCTCCAACCAGGGAGAGCCAGATGTGAGGAGGTCGGGTGACCCCGATGGGATGGATGGCTGAGCACTTGCGAAGTCAGACAGGCCGAGTTGGTAACGTAGAGGGCGGTAAGGTACAAGGGAGCGAGCAGAGAATCGTCGGGTCACACGCCAGGTCAGCAACAGTAGGTCAGATCTAATGAGGGGCATTCAGGAAGAGAGGTCAGGCAAAGCAAGGGTCTGGGCAGGAGAAATCAGCAGGTCAAGAGCAATCCGGGTCAAATAACTTACAAGGCACAGGTTCAGATTCGCAGGATACAGGTAGGACCAGAAGGCACTGAAATGACAGCTCAGGGACATTTAAATATCCCGCCCTGCGCTGCCATTGGTGCCCAGCGGGCGGCCACGGCTTCTACTGCGCATGCGCGAACTCGAACACCGCGGCCGGCCCGGAACTAGTGCCCGTGTCCCTGCACAGGGCGGTGCAGTGCGCCTGCGCCGGGACCATCGCGGCGGGGATCGAGGGGATCCCTGACAATAAATTGTAAAAATAAATGCAGAAAATTGAATTATAAAAGCATAACATGTTATAATATGAAAATAAAGTCTTTGCGACATAACCTATGCACTATATACAATATAGCAAATGTATCAGTCAAAATTCAAGAGTGAAGAAAGTGATGTTGGTATCAATATTCCGATAAGTGACTTCTCTAATCCCAGTGATAACTGTAATCCAGTGCTGTGCAGGAAAATGGTAAAATTGCACACTCGCCAGAGGCACAATATGAATGCGCTTATAAATCAAATAAGCCCGAGGTCCCCTCTGTCCTTGGAAGGAAGCAGCCTGGAGTGGATAACCTCTTCTTAGGAATAAGGGCGATGGAGTAGCACTTCTAGAGGTCCCCTTAAGAGCTGCAGTGAGGGTCTGAAAAAGGTATCTCTCCTCTGGGCCCTGGGATGGTCACCTTGAGTTCCTGGGGCATTAAGTGCTCAGCTGGGTTTCAAAGATGGCCTCCGGACCTCCGTGATCCGGCAGCGTGATGTCACAGCTTGCAGGGCTCCTGCTTAACGCGTTTCATACAATACCCCTTTTGATAATGTATGTATTGTAAGAAACGCATTAAAGAGGAGCCCTGCAAGCCGTGACATGGGATTTTTGTTACTGAAGTGGGATCTCCCATTTGTGTTGGACTTTTGTGCATCAGATACCTTCAATCAAAGTGGCCCCCTGTAGTACCTTTTGCTGAAAACTGCTTTCCTGGTGGCAATTACATCAGCCAGAAGAGTGTCCGTATTAGCTGCCTTGGGGTTTAAAAAAAACATTCTCAAGTTCTTCCCAGACAGGCTGATGCTTGTTCCTAAAGTGGCCTTCAGAGTCCATATCACACAAGATGTTTTCCTTCCTACGTTAAGCCATCAGATGTTTACCAAGCTATAAAATGTTACATTCATGGCGTACAAGTTGAAAGCGTTGACTGTGCCAGGGGGATCACGTCACTCTCCACTAGAAGGGTCTTGACCTTGTGAGCAGCAGCAAGCTGAGTGTTCCCAGACACTATCTGCAAGGCAGCTACATGAACATAAATATATATGATCATGGCTCATTACTGTATAGAAGCAGTCTTAATGACAGTTGAGTTTGGCAGAGGCATCCTGGCTTCTGCTTTTAGCCAGCATTAAGGAATGTGTAGCTTTATCCCTTCCCTGTGTGGCTAGATAGTTTCCAGCTGTGCTGACATGGAGCCGTTGGGAAATGGAAAACTGAATGACAGATACCTACCAAAATTCTCCTTTCCTGATGAGCTCCATGTCAGCACAGTTGACAACTGAAACAGCTAGTCAGAAAAGGAAATTTATAGTACGTACAGTGGGTATAAAAAAGAATCACCCCCCTTCATTCATTTGAAATCATTGAAGTAGTCTTGGGCCAAGAGTTTGCAGACTAGGTTGAAGAGAGAAAAAGGACAAATTAAATGACAGATACAGTGGGTTTAGAAAAGAATCACCTACCTAAAATCACCTAAAATAATCACATTTTGTTGCTTTGCAGCCTGAAATGTCCATATATAATACTATGTCAGAAAAATTGCAAAAAAAATTAAAAAACAGAATAACTGAGTTGGAAAAAGGATCGCCCCCATGTGTCTGTCAGGGCTCCCGGGTATGACCAGAGGTGTGTGACTGATGCAGGGAAACACAGACTTCAGATATGTTATAAACAATGTAATTTATTAACACTAACCATACAAACATAAACGCAGTGCAATACTAAAACATAACACAGTGCAAACAAACCAAACCAACCACCCACAGATAACAGTACATACAAGCAAGCATCGTCAGGCAGGCCGGGTCAATATCAATAGGGCAGGTAGGTACAGGGGGAGCAAGCGGAGATTGGTCGGGGTCACAGGCCAGGTTCAGCAGGTAGCGGGCAGCGTAGTACAGAGGGTCAGGCAGAGGGATGGTCAGGGTCACAAGCCAGGGATCAGAACAGGTAGCAAGCAGCGTGGTACAGAGGGTCAGGCAGAGGGATGGTCAGGAGCGAGCCGGGATCAGAGCAGGAGAAGTCAGCAGTGGTTCAGATCAGGCAGGGTCAGCAAAGGAACAGAAACAGGATGCAGGACAGATACAGGGCCCAGGACAAACACAACACCAAGGCAGAGTCTGCAGGTCTGGCCATCCCTTAAATACATCAGTATAATCAGTTCCAGGTGTTAGCTGGCTGAAAGGTTGAGTCTCTGATTGCTGGGAGCAACCGCTGGCCAGCCCTGGTACTGCAGATCAAAAGGCAGGTGAGTCCCACCATTGCTGGCCAGTCCATTCCTGACAGTACCCCCCCCCCTCAAGGAGCGGCCTCAGGACGCTCCAAACAATCCTAGCTGGGCAAAATGTTCCACCGCCCGGGTCTGGTAACTGGCGGGATATCAAAGACTGGCACACCGAGCAGGACTCCGGGCAGCGGCACACCGGGCAGAGGCACATCGGGCAGAGGCACATCGGGCTGGATTCCGGGCAGAGGCACATCGGGCAGGACTCCGGGCAGAGGCACATCGGGCCGGACTCCGGGCAGAGGCACATCGGGCCGGACTCCGGGCAGAGGCACATCGGGCCGGACTCCGGGCAGAGGCACATCGGGCCGGACTCCGGGCAGAGGCACATCGGGCCGGACTCCGGGCAGAGGCACATCGGGCAGAGGCACATCGGGCTGGACTCCGGGCAGAGGCACATCGGGCTGGACTCCGGGCAGAGGCACATCGGGCTGGACTCCGGGCAGAGGCACATCGGATTACCAGGCGGAGCAGCAGGCACCGAGCCACCAGGCGGAACAGCAGGCACCACCAGGCAGAGCGACAGGCACCGGGCCCCCAGGCAGGGGGTGACAGGCATCGGGCCCCCAGGCGGGGTGACAGGCATCGGGCCCCCAGGCGGGGCGACAGGCATTGGGCCCCCAGGCGGGGCGACAGGCATCGGGCCCCCAGGCGGAGCGGCGGGCGCCGAGCCCCCAGGAGGGGCGACAGGCATCGGGCCCCCAGGCGGGGCGACAGGCACCGGGCCTCCAGGCGGGGCGACAGGCACCGGGCCTCCAGGCGGGGCGACAGGCACCGGGGCCCCCCAGGCGGGGCGACAGGCACCGGGCCCCCAGGCGGGGCGACAGGCATCGGGCCCCTAGGCGGGGCGCCGGGCATCGGGCCCCTAGGCGGGGCGCCGGGCCCCCAGGCGGAGCGACAGGTCTCGGGCCCTCAAGCGGAGCGGCGGGCGCCGGACCCCAAGGTGGAGCGACAGGTCTCGGGCCCTCAGGCGGAGCGGTGGGCGCCGGACCCCCAGGTGGAGCGACGGGTCTCGGGCCCTCAGGCGGAGCGGCGGGCGCCGGACCCCCAGATGGAGCGACAGGTCTCGGGCCCTCAGGCGGAGCGGCGGGCGCCGGACCCCCAGGTGAGCGACAGGTCTCGGGCCCTCAGGCGGAGCGACAGGTCTTGGGCCCCCAGGCGAAGCGGCAGGCACCGAGTCACCAGGCACGACAGTGGGCTCCGAGTCAACTGGCATGACCGCTGGCACTGGGTCAGACATTGGATCGTCTGGCTGGACAGCGGGCATCGGGTCACCAGGCATCAGGTCATTTGGCTCGACAGCGGGCACCGCGTCATCTGGCAAGGCAGTGGGCTCCGAGTCAACTGGTATGACCGCGGGCACTGGGTCAGACATTGGATCGTCTGACTGGACAGCGGGCATCGGGTCACCAGCATCAAGTCATTTGGCTCGACAGCGAGCACCGCGTCATCTGGCAAGGCAGTGGGCTCCGAGTCAACTGGCATGACCGCGGGCACTGGGGCAGGCATTGAATCGTCTGGCTGGACAGCGGGCATTGGGTCACCAGGCATCAGGTAATTTGGCTCGACAGCGGGCACCGTGTCATCTGGCACGGCAGTGGGCTCTGAGTCAACAGGCACGACAGCGGGCACCGGGTCATCAGGTACCGGATTGTCTGGCTCGACAGCGGGCATCGGGTCACCAGGTATGACAGCGGGCACTGGGTCACCAGGCATCAGGTCATTTGGCTTGCCAGCGGGCACCGCGTCATCTGGCAAGGCAGTGGGCACCGGGTCACCAGGCATTGGATCGTCTGGCTCGACAGCGGGCATCGGGTCACCAGGTATGACAGCGGGCACTGGGTCACCAGGCATCAGGTCATTTGGCTCGCCAGCGGGCACCGCGTCATCTGGCAAGGTAGTGGGCACCAAGTCCCCAGGTACGACAGCGGGCTCTGAGTCAATTGGCACGACAGCGGGCACCGGGTCACCAGGCATTGGATCGTCTGGCTTGACAGCGGGCATCAGGTCACCAGGTATGACAGCGGGCACTGGGTCACCAGGCATCAGGTCATTTGGCTTGACAGCGAGCACCGCGTCATCTGGCAAGGCAGTGGGCTCCGAGTCAACTGGCATGATAGGATCGTCAGGCTGGATAGAGGATTCAGGCTGAGTAGAGGCTTCAGGCTGAACCACGGAAGGCAGGTTCACCGGTTTGGATACTGGCAGGATGGTATTGGTTGGAAAGAATTTTCGCTTTTTTCTGGTTTTAACTACTGGAGCACTGCAAGTAAACGCAGGTCTGCAAACGAATGGAGCAGCTGGAGACAGAGAAGAACTGGAGGATGGAACAGGAGAGGGAGCAGTTGCTACAGAGGGCTTTTTTACAGGGTTAAAGGCAGGATAGGTGCAGCGAATGGGAACAGGGTACTGACATGCGGTAGATAGCAGGGCAGGAGGAGCTGTTGGGAATGCAGGAATAGAGCTTTGAGGAAATAGATTAGAAGCAGGACTGGGTTTTTGTAAGTTGACTGAGGCTGGGTGCAACAAGTCTGTCCATGTCTGCAGTATGGGTTGAACAAAGCTGAGCTTACACAAAGCCTGTCTGGTCAATGACTGCACTGCGTTTATACAATCTCTTAGTGCCTGTGGTGAACATGTGGAATAACGCTCCAGAAAGTAACCCACATCATCCTCTAATAACCACACCAGGGACTCTACCTGGTCTGCACTAAATGGTGGCAAAAATTCATCCCTGCATTCGGGGGTACCAGATGAAACCAACTCAGCACAAACCTCAATCAAAGGCTGCACCTCAGAGAACTCTGTGCCCTGATCTACTAGAACATGAGCGAGCCGTATACATTCTAGCAGTTCATCCCGGGGATACTCCTTCAGAGTTTGATAAGCATAATCCCTGTCATCAAACACTAGCAGATATAAATACGCAACCTCATCTAGATCCATCCTTCCCATCAACAAGCCAAAATGGCTTCCCTGTGCAGCCACTTCTGGTCAGGATTGGCCTTGGTGTAATGTCAGGGCTCCCGGGTATGACCAGAGGTGTGTGACTGATGCAGGGAAACGCAGACTTCAGATATGTTATAAACAATGTAATTTATTAACACTAACCATACAAACATAAACGCAGTGCAATACTAAAACATAACACAGTGCAAACAAACCAAACCAACCACCCACAGATAACAGTACATACAAGCAAGCGTCGTCAGGCAGGCCGGGTCAATATCAATAGGGCAGGTAGGTACAGGGGGAGCAAGCGGAGATTGGTCGGGGTCACAGGCCAGGTTCAGCAGGTAGCGGGCAGCGTAGTACAGAGGGTCAGGCAGAGGGATGGTCAGGGTCACAAGCCAGGGATCAGAACAGGTAGCAAGCAGCGTGGTACAGAGGGTCACGCAGAGGGATGGTCAGGAGCGAGCCGGGATCAGAGCAGGAGAAGTCAGCAGTGGTTCAGATCAGGCAGGGTCAGCAAAGGAACAGAAACAGGATGCAGGACAGATACAGGGCCCAGGACAAACACAACACCAAGGCAGAGTCTGCAGGTCTGGCCATCCCTTAAATACACCAGTATAATCAGTTCCAGGTGTTAGCTGGCTGAAAGGTTGAGTCTCTGATTGCTGGGAGCAACCGCTGGCCAGCCCTGGTACTGCAGATCAAAAGGCAGGTGAGTCCCACCATTGCTGGCCAGTCCATTCCTGACAGTGTCAGTATTTTGTTGGACCGCCTTTTGCTTTACTTGAGGCCTTTAGTCTGTTGGGATATGTCTAATTTTGCACGTCTAAACTTTGCAATATTTGCCCACTCCTCTTTGCATAACTGCCCAAGTTTAGTTAAATTTGATGGTGACGGTTTGTGGACTGCAGTCTTAAAAGCCATTGAAATTCTATGGAATTAATGTAAGTCTGGGCTCTGGCTAAGCCATACAAGGACATTCACCTTTTTCTTCTTTAACCATTGTGTGGTAATTTTTGTTGTGTGGTTTGGGTCATTGTCATGTTGGAAGGTAAACCTTCTTCCCATTGACAACTTTCTGGCAGAGGGCAGTAGATTTTTCTCAATAATTTGACGATATTTTGCCCCATCCTTCTATCCTAACAAGTGCTTCAGTTCCTGCAGCAGAGAAACACCCTCCATAACAGGATATTGCCACCTACATGCTTTACTGTAGGAATGGTGTTATTTGGATGGTGAGCTGTATTGGAATCCTGCCATACATATCATTTAGTGTTGAGGCCAGATCATTCAATTTGTCTCATCTGACCATAACACCTTTTTCCATGTGGCCACAGAATCTTCAAAGTATGTTTTCGGAAAGCTCAGTGGTGACTGCATGTGGCCTTTCTTGAGGAGTGTTTTTTTTCTTAAAGTAAAAAACGAAAGAACTTCCTGCGCTAAGACTGGGACCCTATTTACCAAGCTGCTAACACAAACCTCCTTACCAAAATGAGTAAATAAACATAAACATTCAGGTGTAGCGCTATCCCTAAACTAATTAAATATATGCCATACCACTAACTAATCAAAATATGACAGTGTTCTATAAATACCACTAAAGTGCCAAGTCTCTGTGCAATATGTGCAAAAAAATATAGTATAATATATAAAATTGTGCAATCCGTGTACTGCCAACTATAAATAAAGTGCAATAGTGCCAATCATTAGCAAAAATCACTGCACACTTCTGTAAAAATATCGTCCATAAAAGAAAAAAATGTCCAAATCCGACAAAAAACACACAAATCTTCATGCATGTGCTCACACGTGTCCACTCAATGTGAATCCAAAATAGCTGAAGTGGCCCCTCACCTCCTTGCCAAGACCCCACAGGGTCAGCTCACTTTATAACCAGGACACCACTCTGATGACTCACCAGGTCCTCCCCCGCCTCTTACACTTTATCATCAGCCGCCTCTTCCTCGTTTCATATACGGACAAAAGAACTTATATAGTGTAATACTGTTTAATCATTAATGATATAGATATAAAACAAATTGCCCACTCACATTTGTTATCTCTCATTACATGCCTTCAATACCCCATGCTGTGAATCTCCTGCATGGGTATTAGATACAGGGATCCCAAATATGGCCGCCACGCCGGAACTGACGTCACCGCGCTCCCAGAATCCTCCTCACGTACCGACGCGTTGCGTCACGTTATCACGTGACTTCCTCAGGGTTAACGCCCACCGAGGACTGGATTCTAAATATACTCCTCCTAGCCCAATCAAATGATTGGGGGAGGACTACCCCGAGCGGCCATTTTCTCGTAGTCCTCCTATACTCACCATTATAGCGGTGACAGTACAACTTATACAGGACCAAGGAGCACCGGACCGACCACCTAATACAAACCCCTCTCATCATATACTGTTATATTTGTAATCCTCCACCAAAGGACCACAAACAACAGCCTCTACAGTATTTTATATTGTATATTATATTACCAATCCACCTAATTAACTTAAATGAAACCGTGGACCTATATGATTAATCTATATGGGTACATATACCTCTTCCCACTCCCCTAGTGGAAAAATAACATATTACACTTAAAATAAATTAAACATAAAAACTACTTTTAATTACATAAAAACTCCCATATCATAATCAATACCCACAATAAATACCCATGATTAAATTCACAGCATCGGTTTACAGCCTACTCAGTAATACAAAAATAGCTAATAATTCTCTATGAAGATATCTTATTACTATAATGTAAGTGGATCTCCATAAGTGATTCTCTACTGCCAATAATATCAATTCACGTAAAAACAGATCACTATATAAAAATCATATAAAATTCATCTATATAACAAAATTAAAGTCATTTTTAATAAAATTATTATTCATATAAAACCAGATATTACCACGTAAAAAACTCTACCTATTTAATTGTTACTAATAAAGCAGTTCAAATCAAACTCTACGTTTAAGCCTTTCGGGGCCTGAGTCTTCATGTCAAAAATCCATCTCGATTCGGATTTACTCAAGGACCTTACTTTATGACTCCCCCTCCAATGACCACTATACTTCTCTATACCCCAAAATTTAACATAGAGGGGTCCTTGTTATGATGAGTCAAAAAATGTCTCGGCACACTATGTTTTACTGATCCCTTCTTAATTTTTTTGTATATGTTCTCGTAATCGCTTCCATAAAGGTCTCTTCGTCCTCCCCACATACTGGAGACCACAAGAACATTCCAAACAGTACACAACCCCCTCTGTTCTGCACAAAATAAACTCACTGATATTATACTCATTTCCTGTGACTTTTGACTGGAATGACAATTTTTTCTTGTTGGTCCCTTTAGTTTCTCTGCACGCGTAACACTTTCTACACGGAAAGAAACCAGCCATATCCAAAAACGTCACAGTTTTCTTATTGGGTGGATTAATAACATTTTTTACTATTTTCGTCCTGATTGTAGGAGCCTTCCTATAAATAAATTTAGGACGATCTGATAAAAAACCGTGCCTAATACAGGATCTGCTTTTAAAAGAGGCCAATGCTTTTTAAAAATACTCTCCACCATTTTAAAATGTGAATTAAAATCTAAAATTGCAGCCAACTGGTCTTGATCTTTCTTCATTTTGTTTTTATCACATAGTAAATTACACCTATCCATATCTCCTACCTCTTTCATATTTTTATCAATGGATTCTTGTGTGTATCCCTTCTTAAGGAATCACTCCCCTATTAAATTACTCTGTTCCAAATATTTGTTCTTTAGAGTACAATTCCTCCGTAAACTAACAAATTGTCCTTTCGGAATGTTCATCAACCACGGGGAATAATGGCAGCTTCCTATAGGAATATATCCATTTCGATCTACCTCTTTGAAATATGTTTTAGTGATGAGTTTGTTATTAATGACTCTAATATTCAAATCTAGAAAATTAATACTTTTTTACTACCAATCTCCCATGTTAATTTGATATTCTTCTGATTATTATTTAAATTATCAAGAAATTCTCTCAGAGATTCTAGGCTACCTTTCCACACCATGAACACATCATCGATAAAACGCCTATATATCAATAGTTCTTCTCTATAATGCGAGTAGATCTTTTCTTCCTCCCAGTGTGCCATGAATAGGTTTGCCACGCTCGGGGCAAATCTCGCTCCCATGGCTACACCTCTAATTTGTTGGAAGAATTGCTCTGAATGCCAAAAATAATTATGTGATAGACTAAAGTCTA